GAAAAATCGAAAAACCAAGATGTTAATTAAATTGAAAATTAGGAAAATTGAAATATGTTGATAGGTTAATTATTATTATTATTATTTTAAATAAAATTCCCATGTTTTTTGTTCACTTGTTGCTTAAAATTTTTTTTAAAAACTTAAAAAAAGGGAAATCTGAACGTCCAAAAACTGTAAAACTGAAAAATGAAAAATAACAAGAAATCGAAAAATCGGATAATTGAGGAATCGAAAAAGTGGAAAACAAGGAATTAAAAAAGTCCAAATCTGAAATATCGGAAAATCGATTGAAAAATCGCAAAGCCGAGAAATCGAAAAATTACAAATTTTAAAAACTGGAAAATTAAAAGCCCAAAAATTAAAAAATCGATTAATCGGGAAATTGAAAAATTGAAGAATCAGAAAACTTAACAAGCGAGAAATTGAAAACTCCTAAAACTGAAATGTCAAAAAAACGAAGCATCGAAAGTAGGGAAGTGGAAATAAGCCAACATCGAAAAATCAAAAAATTTAAAATTTAAAAAAATTAAAAATTGAAGAATCGAAAAGTTGAAGCATCTGAATGTAGAGAATTGAGGAATCAAAACATTTTAAAAATTGAGAAACCAAAAAGTTGAAGAATTTTAAAAATCAATAACAAAGGTGTCGAGAAATCGAAAATTAGAAAAATTGAAATAGGTTAACGGGTTAATTATGTATGTATTAATTATATACTTTTATCTATTTATTTTTTTGTTAAAATTTTCAGGTTTTTTGTTCACTTGTGATTGCCAAAGAAATTTTTAAAAAATTAAAATTGGGGAATCGAAAAACTGGAAAACAAGAAATTAAAAAAACTCAAATCTGAAATATCGGACAATCGATTGAAAAATCACAATTCCGAGAAATCAAAGGCAGCCGAAAATCGACAAATCGAAATAACCCAAAATCGAAAAATTAAAAAATTTAAAATGTAAAAAAGTCGAAAAATTCAAGCATCAATGTTGACAAATTGAGAAATTAAAACATTTTAAAAATCGAAAAATCTTCAAAATTGAAATGTTGAAAAATTGAGAAATCCAGGAGTCGAAGAATTTTAAAAATCGAAAAACCAAGATGTCATTAAATCGAAAATTAGAAAAAAATTAAATATGTTGATAGGTTAATTATTTATTTATTAATTTTGTTTTTTTTTTTTTTAATTAAAATTTTCATCTGAAATATCGAACAATCGACAACTTGATAAATCGTGAAATCGAAAAATTAAAAATTTAAAAAACTGAAAAATTGAAAAGACGAAAAATTAATAAAATGGTCAATTGAAAAATTGAAGAATCAGAAAACTTAACGATCAAAAAATTTCAAAATCCCAAAACTGAAATGTCAAAAAATTTAAAATGTATAAAACAATCGAAAATTGAAGAATCGAAAAATTGAAACATTGCAATGTCGACAAATTGAGAAATCAAAACATTTTAAAAATTTCCAAAATTGAAAAATCGAAAATTAGAAAAATTGAAATATCTTAATAGGTTTATTATTTATTTCTTAGTTATTTTATTATTTTTTTCTTTTTTTTTAATTGAAATTTTCATGTTTTTTGTTCCCTGCGATTACTTAAAAAAAAAATCTAAAAAAACGGGAAGTCGAAAAATCTAAAATTGAAAATTGAAAAATTGAGGAATCGAAAAACTGGAAAACAAGAAATTAAAAAAACCCAAATCGGAAAATCAATTGAAAACTTGATAAATCGTGAAATCGAAAAATTAATCATTTTAAAAACTGAAAAATTTAAAAGTCGAAAAATTAAAAGAAAATCGATTAATCGAGAAATTGGGAAATTGAGAAGTCCCAAAATTGAAGAATCAAAAAACTGAACAATCAAGAAATTGAAAAATCCCAAAACTGAAATGTGAAAAAACGGAAACATCGAAAATCGAGAAATCGAAATAATCCAAAATCGAAAAATCAAATTTAAAATGTAAAAAAATCAAAAATTGAAGAATCGAAAAATTGAAACATCGGAATATCGACGTATTGAGATCTCAAAACATTTCAGAAATCGAAAAATCAGAAATTAAAAAAATAAAAATTGAGGAACCAAAAATTCGAAATATCAAAAAATCGAAAAGTTTAACGTTTGAAAGATCTCCAAAATTGAATAATTGAGAAATCGAAAATTTGAAGAATTTTAAAAATAAAAAACCAAATTAGAAACATTGAAATGTTAATACGTTGATTATTTATTTCTTAATTATTATTTTTGTTTATTTGTTTTTTTATTATTCTTAAAATTTTCATGTTTGTTCACTTCTGATTCCCTAAAAAAAATTTTTTTTTGTTAAAAATGTGGAAATCTGAACATCCAAAAATCGAAAAATTGAACAATCAAAAACTTGATCGAGAAGTAGAGAAAATGAAAAATCGAAAAATCCCAAAACAGAATTAAAAATCGTGAAATTGAAAGATTGAAGAATCAAAAAACTGAAATATCGGGAAGTCGAAAATCGAGAAATCGAAATATCCCCAAAATCGAAAAATCAAAAAATTTAAAATGTACAAAAATCGAAAATTGAATAATCGAAAAATTGAAGTATCGGAATGTCGGCAAATTGAGAAATCAAAACATTTTAAAAGTCGAAAAATCAGAAATTTAAAAAATTAAAAATTCAGAAGCCAAAAAGTCGAAATATCGAAAAAATCGAAAAATCTTAACATTTGAAGAATCTCCAAAATTGAAGAATTGGGAAATCGAAAAGTTGGACAATTTAAAAATCAAAAACCAAGATGTCGAGAAATCGAAAATATGTTAATAGGTTTTTTTTTATTATTTATTGAGTTATTTTGTTTTTTTATTATTAAAATTTTCACGTTTTTTGTTCAGTTCAAATAATTTTTTTTAATTATAAATCCGAAAATCGTAAAATTGAAAGACTGGAAAATCAAGAAATTACATAATCCCAAATCTGAAATATCGGAAAATTGAACAATCGAAAACTTGATTGATCGTGAAATCGAAACATTAAAAATTTAAAAAACTGAAAAATTGAAAAGACGAAAAATAAAAAAAATCGAAAAATTGAAAAATCCCAAAACAATTGAAAATCGAGAAATTGAAAAATTGAAGAATCAAAAAATTAAATTGCAAAATCCCAAAACTGAAATATCATATCAAAAAACTGAAACATGGAAAACTCGGGAAGTCGAAAATCGAGAAATTGAAATTACCCAAAATCGAAAAATCAAAAAATGCCGACAAATTGAGAAATCAAAAAATTTAAATAATTCAAAAAATCAGCCGAAAAATCGAAAAATCTGTCGTTTGGAAAATCTCCAAAATCGAACAATTGAGAAATCGAAAATTAGAAAAATTGAAAATATGCCAAACAAATTTTTAAAAAATAAAAAATTGGGAAATCGGAACATCCAAAAATCGTAAAACTGAAAAATAAAGAAGAACGAGAATTCCAGAAATCGAAAAATTGTGGAAGCGAAAAATTGCAAAGTCTAGAAATTAAAAAATCCCAAATCTGAAGTGTTGAAAAATCGGGAAATTGAACAATTGAAAAATCGAAATCTTGATAAATTGTGAAATCTAAAAACAAAAAAATTGAAAAATTGAAGAAGTGAAAAACTAAAATATTGAGAAGTCAATGGAGACATTGAACGGTCGAAAAATTGAAAAATTTTAAATGTAAAAAAATCGAAAATTAAAAACGAAAAATCGGGAAATTGAAAAATTGTAAGGGAAATATCGAAAAATTGGAAAATTCTAAATGGAAAAAATCGAAAAATTGAAAATTCAAAAAATCAAGATATCGAAAAATTAAAAATGTAAAAAAAATCGAAAATTGAAAATGGGACAATAATAATTATAAAAATTTATTACCCAACAAAAATTGTTATAACAATTTTGATTTTTTTTTTTTTTTCAAAAATGTGCATGCCTAGAGCAAAAATGCAACACGGATTCATAAACCACAAGTGGAGAAGTACGTTATTTTATAAAATTTAAGTAACTTTTACTATTGTAAAATTTAGGGACGTCATTTCATTGTTGGTGAGGTGATCAGACCAGCCCTAAACGTCGAGAAAACATGAAATTAGCCAGTCGCCCGATGGATTCGATTACAATACTTACTTAGCTTACACTGGAGAAGTCAAAATATAGGCCACAAAATGAGGTTTCGCAAGAGATAATCGACAATGAGCTATTTATTGCAGGAATTGAGGAAAATAGCAATAAATAAATAAACGTCACGTCAAAATAAGAGCAAACTGTTAAAATACGAAAAAACACACTTTAATAGTTATTAAATAAATTCGTTAACTTTGTCTAGTACGGAAATCCCACCTTTTTTGTGTATCATATTTTTGAAAACTAGTTTTTCGAACATTCTTTTTGGTTGGAAATTAGTGTTTTGGAATCATGAGTGGTGGATTATAAAAAACATTATATTGACAGAGCAAATACAATTTATGCAGCGTAATTTTCGTAGATTGTTATAATTAACAGTTCATATTTGTGTAGCAACAACAAAAATCGCGTGAAAATTTTATTTCGTTTTTATTTGACGAAACATTAAGATAAGAGCAATTTAATAATCGTAAGCCTATAAATTATGCTCACAAATCCCGAAATCCGAGAAGAGATAATTCAAAGTCAATGACTTGATACGATATGAGAAATATTGTTTGATCGGTTCACTATTAGTGTTCATGTTCATGTTAATTTTTGATTTTTAATCACAGAAAACACTATTTGTCAGTTTTCTTAATTGCTTGGCCATACATTTTCCGCCGCTTTTGTTTATTCGTCTGTGTTGTAAGTCAAGTCATAACACGCTGGACAAACATTTTCGTCAACACCAAGAACTTGTTAAAATTTTCGTCTCCTAGTTATCTTATCTCTTATCACACACCTGAATGCAGACAGGTGCACATGCAAATTTACTATCATTTTTTTACTGATGATATTTATGGTTGGGTCTTTTTCACCGTCACGTTTCTGGTTGCAGCCTATCAGCAACGCTGACTTCGTGGTGCCCGTCGAGATCGACGGAACCGTCCACCAGGTCTACGTCCTGAAGAGGCCGCACGTGGACGACTTCCTCCGTCGCATGGGTGAACTGTACGAGTGCGTCCTATTCACCGCATCGTTAGCGAAATACGCCGATCCCGTAGCCGACTTGTTAGATCAATGGGGTGTTTTTCGTTCGCGTTTGTTCAGGGAAAGTTGCGTTTTCTACCGTGGGAATTACGTAAAAGATTTAAACAAACTAGGACGGGAACTGCAACAAATCGTTATCGTAGATAATTCGCCTGCTTCCTACATATTCCATCCAGACAACGCTGTAAGTAAGAAAAGAGTGAGAAAAAGATGATATTTTAACGCTTCTGGACACAGAGCGGTCATTTATTGCGCTCTCGAAGCTTCCAATTCCAAAAAGTGTAGTAAATGGCCGTTCTTGTGTAAGATAACACGAGGAATAAGACGAATTGGTTTGTTTTGATGGATTGTGGTTTTTTTGAGGTAGTAATGAGGGTTGGTGTTTTCAGGTGCCAGTGGCGTCGTGGTTCGACGACATGAGCGACTCGGAGCTTCTGGATTTGATACCGTTCTTCGAAAAATTGAGCAAAATGGACAATGTGTATACAGTGCTGTGTAATTCCAATCATCCGTATAACAGTAGTGTGCAAGCCAACGGTCCGACAAACCTAACCGCCAGTATACAGAATAACCACTCACCGCCCAATACGTAGCGAAAAGTTCCTCGTCGAGTCAGAATTGTTGCCAGGGTCGTAGTCTACTTTATACATGTTTTTTATTTCGGAGAGTTCGCTTTTCTGTCGACCTGGTGATGTATTTATTACATTACGAATATGGATAAGTGTAAATATGTAGGTAAAATAGTACATATTTTTATTATGTAAAGAAAACAGAAAGTATTCTATCCCGCTTAAGAAAAGTTACCGAAGTTATATTGAGAAAACTGGTATTTTTACACGGACTTATATTTCCTACCAGCTTGCTTTCATCCATGGCCGCGCAAACTCGGAACCAGTGAAACTAGGAAGGTTTGCGCGTCCACTCGAACGGAGAGAGATTTAGAGATAGTAGAACCACAGTAATCTGCATTTCCTTGGAAATTTGAATACTCAAGCATTTTATTTTTATTTATCGACGGCGATTGTGTTAGACGAAATTTAGATATAGGCGAGTGTGTTTCGTACTTGAGTAAAAGCGATCGATGTGACTAAACAATCAATCATATCTCGTCAGAGGTGATGTTATTTGTGGGAACAAGAGTTCCAATGTTAACAGTGGCCTTAAACAAATATCTGAACTTTTTGAACATTTAATTATGAGAAATTTACTGTAGATACGGCAATTTGTTCCGTCACTTCTACAGGAAAACTCGGAAACGGTGACGTTAAATTCACATTGCCTTTCAATGCATCACTGTAAACAGAACTGTCAACGTGGCGATTGTATCGGTTCATCTAATCTGTTGAGTACAAACGATTTTATTTTAAATCTTATAGATTCTTTTATAAGTTTTAAAGTAAAGTTACGACGATTAAGTTATGTTTTTTTGATTTAAAATCATTGTACAGTCATATATGTTATTTAGTAATATATTCTTACGATTAAGATTTTATTAATATATTATAAATGTATATTTATCCATTATTTGTGTATTGTGTGAATTTTATTTTCAAATAAGCAATATTTTATATGCCTCCTCACATTTATTTCACACTTTTTTTCCTAGTTAACGGACCCTTTGTTAGGTTAGGTTTCATCGGACCAACGTGATTAACCGGGTTTGGTTTTTATAGAGAAGCAATAGTACAATGTGGGGCGAAGCGTGGAGTATTTAGCTAATTAACATTATTTTTTACAAAATAATCTAATTTTGTTGTTGTAGAGAATTATAATTACTGTTTATGTTGATATATAGTATACTTGTACATTAAACACTTGTACAAAATGAGTGTTTTCATATATTTGTCATGTGAATACATATGCCTTGATTTGTAAATAAAAGCCTGTCATTTATACCCAAAGGACGATTTTTTTAATCATGTATTTGTAGTGCCGCCTCGTCAAAATCGTAAAATTGGTGACATCATCTCAAAAAAACTCACTTGAAACAATGCGTAGCATGCTGCTTTACATTTACTTTCATATTTTTATTTTAAGTTATAAAAGTAATCATAAAAAGGACAAGTCAAAATCAGTATCTACAGTTATTCGAAAAATCTGGATTTATTTCGACCAATTTTTTTATATCGCAATTTTTCGTTTCTACAACTTTATTTCGCTTCCTCAATTTTTCAAGTTCTTGTTTTTTTTTATTTTCATTTTCTCCAGGTTACACCGCAGTTTTTTGTTGCTTCATTTCCCTTCTTTTTTAATGTTTCTTTTGATTTTATTACTTTTCTTTTACTGAAATTTTCAATCTTCGTTTCTTCGATTCCTCCAAGTTTTGGATTTCTGAATTATATGATTTCTTTAATTTTCAGTATTTTTAATTTTTCGATTTTTCAATTTTTTTCATCATTTTTTGTTTTTCAACATTAATTTTTTCGATTTCTCGAGGTCCAAATTTTTCAATTTTTCGATTGTCACTTTTTCGTTTCTTCAATTTTTTAAGTTTTTCATTTTTGTTTTTCATGTTCTCATTTTTTCAGTTCCTTTATTTTTTCAAGTTTCTTTCGTTTTGTAATCTTCATTTATTTGATCAATTTTTGGATTCCTGAATTTTCTGATTTTTTTAATTTTCAATATTTCGATTTTACAATATTTTTCTCAATTTTTAATCTTTCGATTTTTCTGTTTTGTGTTCCTTTTTTTTCATAATATTCTGTTTTTCAATTTTAATGTTGTTGATTTTTGATTTTCGTTTTTTCATTTTTAGATTTTTCACTTTCGCGTTTACTTAATTTCTTCATTTTTATTTTTCATTTGCATTTTCTGGATTTTATATCACAATTTTTCATTTTTCCAATTCCCTTATTTTTTCCACGTTTCTTTCGATTTTATTGTATGTATTAAACTTTTATATTTTTCAATTTTTGGATTTCTGAATTATATCTGATTTTCCGATTTTTTTAATTTTCAATATTTCAGTTTTACAATACTATGTTTTTTCGATCTTTAAGTTTCTCAATTTTTAACCTTACGATTTTTCAGTTTTTTTTTTCATAATTGTTTTTTCAACTTTAATTTTTTCAGTTGTTCGTTCTTTTAATTCTTCGATTTTCAATGTTGCAATTTTTAATTCTTACATTTTTCATTTTTGATTGTTCACTATTTCATTTTTCGATTTTCTAAATTTTAAATTTTTCAACTTTGCAATTTCTGAATCTGTTAATTATCCGATTTTCTTATGTCTTTAATTTCAATATGTAATTCAATTTTAGAATATTTCGTTTTTTTAGTTCTATAAGATTTTTCAATTTTTCAAGTTTTTTATTTTTCGTTTTCTATATTTTGTATGACAATCTTTCGTTTTTTCAAATCTTTTATTTTTTCAATGTTCCTTTCGTTACGTAATTTTTCGTTAATTTGGTATCTCAAATCTTCAAACTTTGATTTTTCAATTCCGCGATTTCCCAATTTTTAGATTTTTCAAGTTTGCAATTTTTGGATTTCTCACTTATTCGATTCTTCGATTTCTTTAGTTTTCAATATTTCGATTTTTCAATTTTTTTCATAATTTTTTATTTTTCAACTTTAATTTGGTCAATTTCTCGAGATCCAAATTTGTCAATTTTTTCTTTCAATTTTGCAATTTTTCGGTATTACATTTTTCATTTTTAAATTTTCACTTTTCCGTTTCCTCAATTTTTCAAGTTCTTCATTTTTATATTTCATTTGCTCAATTTTTTCAATGTTTCTTGGTTTTGTAATTTTTTGTTTATTTGGTTTTTCAAATTTTCCATGTTTGTTTTTTCAGTTTTGCAATTTTTGGATTTCTGAATTATAATAAATAAATAATAAATAGAATTTATTTTCCGACTTCCAAATTTTCGATATTACATTTTTCATTTTTAGATTTTTCACTTTTTCGATTTTTTTTAATTTCTTAATTATCCTATTTTCTGATATGTTTAATTTTCAATAATTCAATTTCAGAAAATTTCGTTTTTTCGATCTTTTAAGTTTCTCAATTTTTATTCCGATTTTTCAATTTTTCAAGTTCTTCATTTTTATTTTCCAAATTTTTTCATTTTTACTATCTGATTTTCTGATTTTTTTTTAACTTTCAATATTTAGATTTTACAATATTTCGTTTTTCGATCTTTCAGTTTCTCGATTTTTTAGTTTTTCGATTTTCAATTTTGCAATTTTTCGATATTATATTTTTCATTTTTAGATTTTTCACTTTTTCGTTTCCTCAATTTCTTCATTTTTATTTTTCATTTACATTTTCTGGATTTTATGTCACAATTTTTCGTTTTTCCAATTCCCTTATTTTTTCAAAGTTTCTTTCGATTTTATTATTTTTCGTTTAATCAATTTTTCAAATTTTCCATCTTTGTTTTTTCAATTCCTCCATTTTCCAATTATTAAATTTGTCAATTTTACAATTTTTGGATTTCTGAATTATCTGATTTTCCGATTTATTTAATTTTCAATATTTCAGTTTTACAATATTACGTTTTTTTAATTTTTTTTTTTCACAATTTTTCGTTTTTTCCACTTTAATTTTTTCAATTTCTCGACTTCCAAATTTTTCAGTTTTTCGTTCTTTTAATTTTTCAATTTTTCATTTTTCGAGTATCTATTTTTTAAATTTTGCAATTTTTGAATTTCTTAATTATCCGATTTTCTGATTTCTTTAATTTTCAATATGTAATTCAATTTTAGAATATCTCGTTTTTTCGATCTTTCAGATTCTTAATTTTTATTCTTCCGATTTTTCAATTTTTCGTTTCCTCAATTTTTCATGTCCTTCATTTTTATTTTTTATTTTCCGAATTTTTTCATTTTCATTTTCTATATTTTATATGACAATTCTTCGTTTTTTTCAAGTCTTTTATTTTTTTCAAAGCTTTTTTTGTTTTGTAATTTTTCGTTTATTTGATTTTTCATTTCCGCGATTTCCCAATTTTTTGATTTTTAAGTTCCTCATTTCTATTTTCGCGATTTTTTAAAGTTTTCAATTCACACTTTTGCTTTTTTTTATTTTTGATTTTTCAATTTTACAGTTTCGCAGTTTTTCAATTTTTTTTTTATTCGAAAAATTGAAAAATCGAAAAAACTTGTAAATTGCAAATCGAAAGACTAAACAAACGAAAAATGTTAGTTTCAAAAAAAAAAAACTAAAAATCGAAAAAAATTAATGAAACGATAACCTGCAAAGAAAAAACGATTCGAATCGTAAAATGATGGAATCGTCAAAATTGCAAAATCAAGAAGTTTAAAAATTCAAAATGGAAAAAGTAAAAAATCGAATAAATGAAAAGGCTTTCAAATCAGTAGTTGTAAAATGGAAAATTTCCAAAAGCTTAAAATTGAAAAAGTGAGGAATTTAAAAATATTAAATATTGCAATTGAAAACTAGAAAAACTGGATATCAAAAACTGAAGAAACGAAAAATTGAAAAATCCAGAAACTGAAAAGTGTCAAAGTGGAAAACCGAAAAAGTGCCAATCGAAGAATAAACAAAATCAAAAATTGCAAATCGAAAAATTGAAATATCCAAAAGTTGGAAATTCGAAAAACTGAAACATTTAACAATCAAAAGTAGAAGAGTTACATATCGTAAATTGAAGAAACAAAAAAAATTCAAGTTGAAAAAACAAAAATTTAAAAAATTGGGACCTTGAAAAATCGAAAAATTTTGAAAACAAATTTAAAAAACTGAAATTGTAAAAACGAAGAGTTATAAAATCGGGACAGTGAAAAATTTCAAAATGTAGACAATAAAAAACCGAAACGGAAAACTGCAAATCGAAAATTTGAAGAAATGAAAAACTAAAGAATCTAAAAATTGAAAATTTCAAAATTTGGAAAATTGAAAAACTGAAAACTTAATTTTGAGAACTCGAAAAACTGAAGAAACAAAAAAATTAAAAACTGAAGGATTGAAAAATTCACGCCGCCCGACTATAGTTAGTACGAGTCACCGTGCAACCAAAGCGGCAAAACCACACACCCTCTCCAAAATTTCTTACACTTTATTATTAAAACCTTTTTATGTATAAACAATTTAGAAAGCACTAGATGACATAGTGTATCTCTCTTATCCTAGCTAACTAAAATGGCAAATGACTCCACAATATGTACAATTCTCGTGACACTCAAATTTATAAATTTAAACAATATAATACATTTTGGCCTTGCAAAGACAATAAAATCTGTATTCATCTTTGAAAATATTTTATCACAAGTCAATTTGTTACAACCTAACTTAGCCTAAACCCTCCTCGACGATCATTTATTTTTAAGAGTCATCTGTCTCCTGAAGGCCCGTCCGAACAGTATCCCCACCACGAAAATCGACCCGAACATCATCAAAAACATCAGAAAGAAGTAGTGTTTGGCGGGCGACGCCACCACTTGGTGGTAGAGCTCGTGGAAGTCGCCGGGTGGGGGCGCCACCTACGAAAAAAAAATTAAACCCGACTAGCGACACCCGCGCCGACTTACCAGAGCCGCGTTCTCGTACATCCTCAGTCTTTTGGTTAGCATTTCGCCGCACTCGGGCGACAGCTGGTGGTTGTCCATGGAGATTCTCAGACACTTTATATCTGAAAGAAACGATTATTGTATTAATTTTAAATCCGACGCTATTTTGTGGGTTAACTTACGTCTGCCGTTCCCTTGCGGCACGTCTTTACAAAACTTGAGTAAATCCAAAGCGCACACTTGCTGCAGCAACGGATCGACGTGAATATCCGCCTGAGATTCTTCAATCATATTCGCGACTTCGACTTTACACACTGGTGTCATTATTCGATTTTCGAGGAGAGCGTTCTTCAAACACTCTTCGGTCTTGCCTGAGTCTTCGTCGCTCAGTTTACAAATCGTCTCCAGCTCGTTTTTACAAACGACTCGTATCAGAGGGTTTAAACTGACGTCTAAAGCCTGTTCTCTTAACATAGACACCATTTCGTTCTCGCACTTGTGCGAAAGTACCCCTTTTTTAAACGAACCCTTGAGACACTTGAACACCGCTTCGTTCAAGTCCTTCCCATGATTAGTATTGATGACGTTCGAACAAAACTTGTTTATATCCATCTTACAATTTTCTTGTAGCGATGGATTCAGTTGGTAATTCGAGTTTTGTTCGATCATCCTGTGTATAACTATCGATCTACACTTTTTGCTGAAGCCTTTCTGGTCTTTGTTAACCTTCAAACAATCCAGGATCGTTTCCCTATCGTGGTGTGCGCAGAACTGCTCGATTGCGTCTGCGCACATCGTAATCAACGCGTAATCGATGGAATTGTCGTAGACTTCTTGTCGCTTAACCTTGAAGACTTTTTGTTCGCAGAGTGGCGACAATTTGTCGCGCACGGTTTGCAGACACTCGAGAACTTGCGCATTGCCTTGCTCCACGTGTGGACAATACTTGGTGATGTCGGGTAAACAAACACGTTTCAACGTGGGGTCAAAATCTATATTTTCTCGTTTTAGAGATAAGAGACCCAGAGTAATCTGCATTTTCTTGGAAATTTGAATACTCAAGCACTTTATTTTTATTTATCGACGGCGATTGTGTTAGACGAAATTTAGATATAGGCGAGTGTGTTTCGTACTTGAGTAAAAGCGATCGATGTGACTAAACAATCAATCATATCTCGTCAGAGGTGATGTTATTTGTGGGAACAAGAGTTCCAATGTTAACAGTGGCCTTAAACAAATATCTGAACTTTTTGAACATTTAATTATGAGAAATTTACTGTAGATACGGCAATTTGTTCCGTCACTTCTACAGGAAAACTCGGAAACGGTGACGTTAAATTCACATTGCCTTTCAATGCATCACTGTAAACAGAACTGTCAACGTGGCGATTGTATCGGTTCATCTAATCTGTTGAGTACAAACGATTTTATTTTAAATCTTATAGATTCTTTTATAAGTTTTAAAGTAAAGTTACGACGATTAAGTTATGTTTTTTTGATTTAAAATCATTGTACAGTCATATATGTTATTTAGTAATATATTCTTACGATTAAGATTTTATTAATATATTATAAATGTATATTTATCCATTATTTGTGTATTGTGTGAATTTTATTTTCAAATAAGCAATATTTTATATGCCTCCTCACATTTATTTCACACTTTTTTTCTAGTTAACGGACCTTTGTTAGGTTAGGTTTCATCGGACCAAGGTGATTAACCGGGTTTGGTTTTTATAGAGAAGCAATAGTACAATGTGGGGCGAAGCGTGGAGTATTTAGCTAATTAACATTATTTTTTACAAAATAATCTAATTTTGTTGTTGTAGAGAATTATAATTACTGCTTATGTTGATATATAGTATACTTGTACATTAAACACTTGTACAAAATGAGTGTTTTCATATATTTGTCATGTGAATACATATGCCTTGATTTGTAAATAAAAGCCTGTCATTTATACCCAAAGGATGATTTTTTTAATCATGTATTTGTAGTGCCGCCTCGTCGAAATCGTTAAATTGGTGACATCATCTCAAAAAAACTCACTTGAAACAATGCGTAGCATGCTGCTTTACATTTACTTTCATATTTTTATTTTAAGTTATAAAAGTAATCATAAAAACGACAAGTCAAAATCATCAATTTTTCGTTTCCACAACTTTATTTCGCTTCCTCAATTTTTCAAGTTCTTGTTTTTTTTTTTTATTTTAATTTTCTCCAGGTTACACCGCAGTTTTTTGTTGCTTCATTTCCCTTCTTTTTTAATGTTTCTTTTGATTTTATTACTTTTCTTTTACTGAAATTTTCAATCTTCGTTTCTTCGATTCCTCCAAGTTTTGGATTTCTGAATTATATGATTTCTTTAATTTTCAGTATTTTTAATTTTTCGATTTTTCAATTTTTTTCATCATTTTTTGTTTTTCAACATTAATTTTTTCGATTTCTCGAGGTCCAAATTTTTCAATTTTTCGATTTTCACTTTTTCGTTTCTTCAATTTTTTAAGTTCATTTTTATTTTTCATGTTCTCATTTTTTCAGTTCCTTTATTTTTTCAAGTTTCTTTCGTTTTGTAATCTTCATTTATTTAATCAATTTTTGGATTCCTGAATTTTCTGATTTTTTTAATTTTCAATATTTCGATTTTACAATATTTTTCTCAATTTTTAATCTTTCGATTTTTCTGTTTTGTGTTCCCTTTTTTTCATAATATTCTGTTTTTCAATTTTAATGTTGTTAATTTTTGATTTTCGTTTTTTCATTTTTAGATTTTTCACTTTTGCGTTAACTTAATTTCTTCATTTTTATTTTTCATTTGCATTTTCTGGATTTTATATCACAATTTTTCATTTTTCCAATTCCCTTATTTTTTCCACGTTTCTTTCGATTTTATTGTATGTATTAAATTTTTATATTTTTCAATTTTTGGATTTCTGAATTATATCTGATTTTCCGATTTTTTTAATTTTCAATATTTCAGTTTTACAATATTATGTTTTTTCGATCTTTAAGTTTCTCAATTTTTAACCTTTCGATTTTTCTTTTTTTTTTTTCATAATTGTTTGTTTTTTCAACTTTAATTTTTTCAGTTTCTGGACTTCCAAATTTTTCAATTGTTCGTTCTTTTAATTCTTCGATTTTCACTGTTTCATTTTTCGATTTTCTAAATTTTAAATTTTTCAACTTTGCAATTTCTGAATCTGTTAATTATCCGATTTTCTTATGTCTTTAATTTCAATATGTAATTCAATTTTAGAATATTTCGTTTTTTTAGTTCTATAAGATTTTTCAATTTTTCAAGTTTTTTATTTTTCATTTTCTATATTTTGTATGACAATCTTTCGTTTTTTCAAATCTTTTATTTTTTCAATGTTCCTTTCGTTACGTAATTTTTCGTTAATTTGGTATCTCAAATCTTCAAACTTTGATTTTTCAATTCCGCGATTTCCCAATTTTTAGATTTTTCAAGTTTGCAATTTTTGGATTTCTCACTTATTCGATTCTTCGATTTCTTTAGTTTTCAATATTTCGATTTTTCAATTTTTTTCATCATTTTTTATTTTTCAACTTTAATTTGGTCAGTTTCTCGAGATCCAAATTTGTCAATTTTTTCTTTCAATTTTTCGATTTTCAATTTTGCAATTTTTCGGTATTACATTTTTCATTTTTAAATTTTCACTTTTCCGTTTCCTCAATTTTTCAAGTTCTTCATTTTTATTTTTCATTTGCTCAATTTTTTCAATGTTTCTTGGTTTTGTAATTTTTTGTTTATTTGGTTTTTCAAATTTTCCATGTTTGTTTTTTCAGTTTTGCAATTTTTGGATTTCTGAATTATAATAAATAAATAAATAATAAATAGAATTTATTTTCCCACTTCCAAATTTTCGATATTACATTTTTCATTTTTAGATTTTTCCCTTTTTCATTTCCTCAATTTCTTCATTTTTATTTTTCATTTACATTTTCTGGATTTTATGTCACAATTTTTCGTTTTTCCAATTCCCTTATTTTTTCAAAGTTTCTTTCGATTTTATTATTTTTCGTTTAATCAATTTTTCAAATTTTCCATCTTTGTTTTTTCAATTCTTACATTTTCCAATTATTAAATTTGTCAAATTTACAATTTTTGGATTTCTGAATTATCTGCTTTTCCGATTTTTTTAATTTTCAATATTTCAGTTTTACAATATTACGTTTTTTCAACTTTAATTTTTTCAATTTCTCAACTTCCAAATTTTTCAGTTTTTCGTTCTTTTAATTCTTCGATTTTCAATTTTTCATTTTTCGAGTTTCTATTTTTTAAATTTCGCAATTTTTGAATTTCTTAACTATCCGATTTTCTGATTTCTTTAATTTTCAATATATGTAATTCAATTTTAGAATATCTCGTTTTTTCGATCTTTAAGTTTCTCAATTTTTATTCTTCCGATTTTTCAATTTGTCGTTTCTTCAATTTTTCAAGTTCTTCATTTTTATTTTCTCAATTTTTTCATTTTCATTTTCTATATATTATATGACAATTTTTCGTTTTTTTCAATTCTTTTATTTTTTCCAAGCTTCTTTTGTTTTGTAATTTTTCGTTTGATTTTTCATTTCCGCGATTTCCCAATTACTCGATTCTTCGATTTCTTTAGTTTTCAATATTTCAGTTTTACAATATTTCGTTTTTCTCATTTCGTACTTTTTGGATTTATAGGTTTTTCAACTTCCGATTTTTGAATTTTTCGTTTCTTCATTTCCATTTTCAAGATTTTTTAAAGTTTTCAATTAATACTTTTGCTTTTTTTCATTTTTGATTTTTCAATTTTACAGTTTCGCAGTTTTTCAATTTTTTTTTATTCGAAAAGTTGAAAAATCGAAAAAACTTTTAAATTGCAAATCGAAACACTAAAGAAACGATTCGAATCGTAAAATTATGGAATCGTCAAAATTGTAAAATCGAGAAGTTTAAAAATCCAAAATGGAAAAACTAAAAAATCGAATAAATGAAAAAGCTTTCAAATCCAGTAATTGTAAAATGGAAAAATTCCAAAAGCTTAAAATTGAAAAAGTGAGGAATTTAAAAATATTAAATATTGAAAATGAAAACTAGAAAAACTGGATATCAAAAACTGAAGAAACGAAAAACTGAAAAATCCAGAAACTGAAAAGTCTCAAAGTGGAAAACCGAAAAACTGCCAATCGAAGAATAAACAAAATCAAAAATTGCAAATCGAAAAATTGAAAGATCCAAAAGTTGGAAATTCGAAAAACTGAAACATTGAACAATCAAAAGTAGAAGAGTTACATATCGTAAATTGAAGAAACAAAAAAAAATTGAAAAACCGAAAAAATTCAAGTTGAAAAAACAAAAATTTTAAAAATTGGGACCTTGAGAAATCGAAAAATTTTGAAAACAAATTTAAAAAAGTGAAATTGTAAAAACGAAGAGTTATAACATCGGGAGTGAAAAATTTAAAAATATAGACAATAAAAAACCGAAACGGAAAATTGCAAATCGAAAATTTGAAGAAATGAAAAATTAAAGAATCGGAAAATTGAAAATTTCATAATTTGGAAAATTGAAAAATTCACGTCGTCAAATTCCACCGCCCATGTTGTAGTACGACTCACCGTGCATCCAAGCGGCAAAACCACACACCCTCTCCAAAATTTCTTACACTTTATTATTAAAACCTTTTTATGTATAAACAATTTAGAAAGCACTAGATGACATAGTGTATCTCTCTTATCCTAGCTAACTAAAATGGCAAATGACTCCACAATATGTACAATTCTCGTGACACTCAAATTTATAAATTTAAACAATATAATACATTTTGGCCTTGCAAAGACAATAAAATCTGTATTCATCTTTGAAAATATTTTATCACAAGTCAATTTGTTACAACCTAACTTAGCCTAAACCCTCCTCGACGATCATTTATTTTTAAGAGTCATCTGTCTCCTGAAGGCCCGTCCGAACAGTATCCCCACCACGAAAATCGACCCGAACATCATCAAAAACATCAGAAAGAAGTAGTGTTTGGCGGGCGACGCCACCACTTGGTGGTAGAGCTCGTGGAAGTCGCCGGGTGGAGGCGCCACCTACGAAAAAAAATTAAACCCGACTAGCGACACCCGCGCCGACTTACCAGAGCCGCGTTCTCGTACATCCTCAGTCTTTTGGTTAGCATTTCGCCGCACTCGGGCGACAGTTGGTGGTTGTCCATGGAGATTCTCAGACACTTTATATCTGAAAGAAACGATTATTGTATTAATCGAAAATCCGACGCTATTTTGTGGGTTAACTTACGTCTGCCGTTCCCTTGAGGCACGTCTTTACAAAACTTGAGTAAATCCAAAGCGCACACTTGCTGCAGCAACGGATCGACGTGAATATCCGCCTGAGATTCCTCAATCATATTCGCGACTTCGACTTTACACACTGGCGTCATTATTCGATTTTCGAGGAGAGCGTTCTTCAAACACTCTTCGGTCTTGCCTGAGTCTTCGTCGCTCAGTTTACAAATCGTCTCCAGCTCGTTTTTACAAACGACTCGTATCAGAGGGTTTAAACTGACGTCCAACGCCTGTTCTCTTAACATTGACACCATTTCGTTCTCGCACTTGTGCGAAAGTACCCCTTTTTTAAACGAACCCTTGAGACACTTGAACACCGCTTCGTTCAAGTCCTTCCCGTGATTAGTATTGATGACGTTCGAACAAAACTTGTTTATATCCATCTTACAATTTTCTTGTAACGATGGATTCAGTTGATAATTCGAGTTTTGCTCGATCATCCTGTGTATAACTATGGACCTACACTTTTTGCTGAAACCTTTCTGGTCTTTGTTAACCTTCAAACAATCCAGGATCGTTTCCCTATCGTGGTGTGCGCAGAACTGCTCGATTGCGTCTGCGCACATCGTAATCAACGCGTAATCGATGGAATTGTCGTAGACTTCTTGTCGCTTAACCTTGAAGACTTCTTGTTCGCAGAGTGGCGACAATTTGTCGCGCACGGTTTGCAGACACTCGAGAACTTGCGCATTGCCTTGCTCCACGTGTGGACAATACTTGGTGATGTCGGGTGAACAAACACGTTTCAACGTGGGGTCAAAATCTATATTTTCTCTTTGTTGTAAGAGCTGCGCTTTCAGTTGTTGTCGACACTCTTTCGATATAGCGCTCTTCATCCCGCTCACCGTATCATTAGTGACTTTCTCGCTCAAACAAGTCACGACTTCGCTCTTAGTCTTCGCTTTTTTGCAAAACCGCATGGCGAAGCTTTTGCACGTCATTTTAAACTTATACGTGAACCTGTAGTCTTTGATTGAGATGATCTGGAAGTGCTCTATACTGACCCGGCACGCTTGATTAGCTTTAACCACTGGGTCGTTCTTGTGACTTATCAAACACTCCATGATGTCTCCTTCGTCGTTCTTTAATTCGGCGCTGCATAGCGTCTCCATTTCTTTTCTACAGTTCTGCATAATGTAGGGGTTAAGCTCCGCGTGCTGCGCTTCAGCTTCAGTGAATAGTTCCACCGCTTTTCTGCAGTCCTCCTTGAGTTGTTCTAGCTGCTTCTGCAGACAAAACATTTCTTCGCCACGCTTGGTCTTGTCGAAGCAGAAGAGGGCTAAATCGTCTAGACACACCTCCTCGATTTCTGGTTGTAAGTCTACACTGATGGCGCGCTGCCGCATCACTCTTTGTATCTGCTGGAGACACGCAGGCTTGATTTTCAACGACTCGTCTTCTTGGTAGGCGTGGCGGTACAAACACGGGAGGATTTGCGGGTCGTTCGAAGGTTGCGTCTCCTCCCAGTTGGAACTGGCGCGACAGTGCTTAATAGCGTCGTCGCGGCACGACCTATACAACTTCGGGTCAAGCTTGAAGTCGCGCCCTATGAAGTACTGGATTTGGATTAGGGCGTCTTCGCATTCCTCAGTCATGTGATCGGCGCCGATGTTATCCATCAAACACGACATGACGCGAGCGTCGCCCCCTTTCACGTCCCGACACACCGACTTGACCACCGGGTAACACGCTTGGTGGAGCACCGGGTCGACGCGCCAGTCCTCCCCAGCGTCGGTTTCCTTGATCAGAGTCTCCAGCTACCAACACAGTTTTAGTAGGTTGCGAAAGTGGCGCAGTCGGGTGGATTAAATTTTACAAAACGAGTGACAATACTTACCGCTCTTAAGCAAGTATCCCTGAGTCGCTTATTCACGTTTTTGAACCTGGCGTGGTCCATCAGGCAATGGATGGTTTTTCCACCGGTCTCGAACCCGGCACAATACGTCCGGATTTCCTCGCTGCACCCATCGACGATTTCCGGCGACAAACTAAAATCCTCCATCAACATCCTCCTGTGCTCTACCAACTCGGCTTCACAACCTGGCTCGATTTTCGTCCCGTTTTTAGACATGTTTTCTAAACACAGGAGAACTTGGGCCAACCGGATGATCTTATCGCTTGACGTTTGTTTCTTGCAGTGCGTCTTTTTTATATCATCGCGGCACGCTTTCATCAAACCTTTACTGATTCTGTAGTCTTGTGAAATCAACTTCTGTCTTTTTAGCAGTTGTTTGTGGCACTCGGTGGTGATCCGCTCCTGCGGCTGCTCCATCAAACAAGTGAAAACTCGGCCGCTACCGGCCGGGAACTGCTGACAGTACCGTCTGTGGTCCTCCACGCACGCCATATACAGCTGTCTGTCAGTCTTGATATTTTCGGCTTGCAGCTCCGACAATTTAAACACCTCTCTCCTGCAGTCATCCTGTACGTTTAAAATGTTGTTTTGCAGGCACTTGATGGTCTCGAATTGGTTCCACGACGACGGGTCTATCCTCCCACAGTGCAACTGGTCGATGTCCAACTTACAATGATCCAAAAAGCTCGAAATCCAGCGGAAATCCTGAAACGCGACGTTCACCAGCCGCCCGATCACGCTATTACACGTACTATCGTCAATCCGGTCCTTGCTATTCACTACACATTTGAGATATTCGCCCTCGCTCGAAGAATCACAGTTCAAATCCCCCAGTAACGTGCTAGGGCAATAACGGTTCAAAAAATCCCGCACTTTGCTGTTACTAATCAGGCTGCTGGTGTGATTCCAGATCACATGCTGGCACTCTAGCTTCAACCCAGTGAGTCTGGTCGGGTTCAGCGACTGCAGGCACTCGAGGATTAGGATGTCGTCGTTTTCGCTCAAGTTGTTACAAATGACTTTGACTTCCGCGCACGCGGGGTCGTCGATGATGGTTCGCGAGGGGGCTGCTGAGGCCAGGACCGCAGTTAATAACCCCACAAAACACAGGCGGCGCAATGCGGACATTTCATTCGTGGTGGACTGGAAAGTGCGGGACACGCCTCACTGCCGCGGTGCTGATAGTGATAGTGGTAATAAACAAATATTTGATGTTTACTTTCGTTTGTACCGGGTTTCTAAATAAAAAATAAAACGAACCCTCAAGGTGGACGTCAGTTTGACAGGTATCAAAACAGCAGGGCGGGCATCGACGGGTGAAAAACCCCAGAAAAGTGAGGTTATTTCCGTGAAAACTTTTACAACAACGAGTATTTTAAATCACAAACAGCGTGTACGTATTTAGTAGTAATAAATACAGCAAAAGAGGGTGACAAATAATCGGACAAACTACTCCGTTTGTACAAGTTCAGACATAACCTCAGTGTTTCACGATGGGTGACGGCGACGCCTTTCCACCTTTTTTCTTCTCGAAAGCCCCCTTACCCGAAAAGGTGAACCTAATCAACTTAAAAGACGGCAGAGATAAGCTCTACTGGATGCTTTCAGTCGACAACAAGTCGCGACTTAGCGAGCAAACAACGGGGGCTGTGTTGGCCCCGTACGACGACAACGACGGTAAGTCTCGCTTGCCGTTACTATTTCAACTAACATTATCTATAATAGCGGAAATGCTCGACTGCGGCGACTTGGAGGACAATTACGAAATCAACCCCACAAAATCTGGCAAGTTTATCACCACTTTCTACGTCCCGTCGTACGTATGCAAGTCACCTTCGCCCCAATTTTCACCCACGGTCTTCTTTCAGGTCGTTGCATTCCGTCATTGTGGGGGCCCGCGGCTCCAAACTACGCGAGTTACAAAACACCACAAATACTCTGATTAAAGTTCCAAGACCCAATGAAGAGCCCATTGTCAAGATAACGGGGCACAGTGAGCGCAGCGTGGCTTCCGCGAGGACTCAGATCGCCCTCTTGGTGCTCGCCCGACGGGAGCGACTATCCATAACCCATTTTGTGTCAATTCAAATTTACTCAGACAATATTAAACGCAACTTTTTGAACTTCAAAGATTCAATCCTCAACGGTCCGTCAACAAGGGGCATTGACGAAACTATTTTCCAAAAAGTGGAAAAGTTTCACTTAACTATAGTCACTCTAGCGTTACTAGATGAGAAAGAAATTGAAGACACCAAACAACTATTAAATAGGTGCCAAAGCACCGTTCAGAAACTCTTTCTGGGTAAAAAACCCAAAATCGTTGTAAAAGGGGTGGAAATCATGAACGACGATCCCTCAGAAGTGGATGTTTTATATGGGAAAGTCTCGCTAGACAGTCGCGAGGACGTGGAAAGTCTCCAAGAAGCGGCTGACGAGATCTTAGAAGCGTTTTATCGCAACGGTTTAGTGAAACGGCAGTTTGACAGCGTCAAGCTTCACGTGACTTTAATGAATTCGTTGTTCCGGAAAAGCGACGATTTTCAGAGGGAGCCTGGAGCGAAACGGGAGTCATTTGATGCCACTTATATCCTTGACAAATACAAGGACTACTATTTTGGGAAAACTAGTCTTGAAAAAATACACTTGTCAGTCAGATTTACTACAACTCAGAGTGGATATTACCAATCAGCTGCTACCATTACTCTTTAATTTTTTATTTTTGTTTATTTTATTAACAACTGGTGCTGTTTCAAATGCCTCTGGTAATTATTTTTCCTGTTGAAACCTTTCCCGCAGGTTGTACAACAAAACGGAAAATTCCCCGTGTGTATCACCAAATGTATTTCCAAATCTTTGTCTGTGCGAAACTGGCGATAACATTCGCCACATTGGTATCTGAGCAAGCTGTGTTCCAATTTGTGTCGGTTTAAGCCGCTTTTAGAGCTATAACTAATAAGTAAGATTGAGTTTTAATCAAGTCACAACAAGTAGTACTAACTTTTTGCCGCAATAATTACACATTTCGGTTTTTAATTTCTCTTCTTTCACTCCAGAGTGTCTGACTTCATGCTGCCCCAATTCCGACTTAGTTTTAAAGCGCGAACCGCAAACTGAACACAAAAATGGCGCTTCTCCTGTGTGTTTTCTCAAGTGGAAGTGGAGAGAAGCCCTTGCAGCGAACCTCCGGTCACAAATTGGACAACTAAGCAAGTTTTCTTTAGTGTGGATTTTTAGATGAGTCTGGAAGGAGTCGTGGACGTGAAAACTACAACCGTTTGATTAGTAGTAGAAAAATGGTTTACTAACCTACCCTTTTTCACAGTATGGGCAAAGGTACTGTTTGACCAGTGAATGGGTCCTCATGTGTTTTACCACCGCGCTTTTTGATTTATAAGTTCTCGCGCACGTGTGGCACTTAAATAAAGCACTGTTTGTGTGTCTGGATTGGTGGATTTTTAAGTCCTGTCGCGTGGTGAAAGTCTTAGGGCACGTGTCACACTTATGGGCTTTCATTTCTTCAAAAAGTTTGATTTTTCAACAAAATAAATAAAACAAATACTTACTCCGGTGTCTTTCCAAATGTATCTGCAATGACGTGTTTCTGGTGAATGTTTTGTTACACAAGTTACACAAAAATTGTGACTGGGTTCCAACTGAGTCACAAGCGTCTTCACTTAGTTGGGAGCAAGTGGTTAACAGTTCCCTTAGAAATTTGTCCACTGATTCACACTTTTCTTTGAAAGTGAAGCAATTTTGGAGTTTTTGGCTACAAAGCACGCACATGTGTTGCATTAAACCATCTTCGGTAGAAATCTGAAACGATTAGAACTGTCGGGGGGCTTAAAACGCTGCGAACTTACCGAAATCGTGGTGCACTGAGACAGCATCGTCGGGATATTTTCGTCCCCATACAAGTATATTTTGGAGTCGCTGAGTTCGTTTAAACATAGACGACAGTGGTTGGAGTAGTCTTCGAGGGATGACTGCATCGTGGGGGTTTTGTGTAACAAATTTGAGGTTATATTTATGAGTAGTTTGAGTGTCAAAAACGAATAAATAATCTACCCAAAAAACCTATTGATAGTGTGATAAAGTTGGCAGTCCTGGTAATATAAATCTGCAACTTTTTTTAACTGCGATAATGTTTTTAAAACTTGAAATTAATTCGCTTTTGTTTGTACTTTATCATTTTTGTTATCGCTTTTTCCACCATTTAAGTTCGTATAATTATTATCATTATTATTATTATTATTAATCGACCGATAGTAAATGCAAGCAATGGTTAATTAACGAGGAATTTCACGCTTTGCGTAATCTCCTGAGTGGGAAGAAAAGAAACTCCGGCTCAGTAATCGTAAATACATTATTGCGTATAAAATTCTCGTTCCACCGCCTCCGACTAACCCACTGAAAATTCGTCTAGAAATTTTCCACGAAAAACTAAATCAGGTATGTTTAGCCTCCACATTCCTAAAAAAGCCTAAAAACCGCAAATCCGTTGCGATAATCCCTTCCTTCGCCAAGTATCATGACCCACAAATCATGAAATATTCATAACCACCGCAACAGCTATTAAAAGAACACTTAAGGAAGCAGATAATTCCGTTATCGCCGCCTTTCCTGCCACCAGTCCGTTCCGAGCCTCGCTCCTCGCACCGCAAGACTCCAAATTCAAACTTCCCTCTCCACCCTTAAGTTGCCACCCCTGTGTTTTGACAATTGATAAAATGTCAGGCATATGTCACCGCTAAATGTCAACCCTTTTATTTATAATGAAACTGTTTACACCGTTTCGTAATTAACTGCTTAATGATGTTCCTGTGAAAGTACGTAAGAACAAAAGCCGAGACATGTCCGGAGTTTTCGGCTACAGCCGAGAGGCTGTCCGTGTCAAAGTCAAGGTAAACCCCGATTTAAATTTATGGCACTTTCAGACCGTCATTTTGCAGAAAATCGAAGGGTCGCAGCCCCCGGAGCTCCGCAAGTTCAGCGTGGACCCGCAAATTACGTCGTTCGAGGTGCTGCAGAGTATTTTAGCGAAAGCGTTCGACTTGAAGGGGGATTTTGCAATATGTTATCGATTGTACGATGTGAACGGGCACGAAACTTACATGCCTCTGCTGTCGGACTGGGACTTGGACGCGGCGTTTTTAAAGTATTACTCGTTGTGTGTAATTTCGTGTCTAAATGGGGTTTTTAGGGCCTACAATATGTCAGTGGGCAGCAGCTCGGAGCCTTGCTTGTGCCTCCGCGTCGACCTCAAGCCCTTCGAGGAGTGCTCCGACGACTGGGAGCTCAAACAGAACCTCCCCATCATCACCCAGATCCGCACTGCCACCTGCCAGGAAGCCAAACCGTCGCCGCGCCTCCACGGGATTTTCAACCAAATGGGCAAAACGCTGAACTTGGTTCAGAGGGCTTTCCTAGGGGACGACAGTTCGGCGCCGCTGCAGCCCCCGCGACCCCCGCTCTCCGACTCGGAATTCCGGACATTCCTCGACCCCGTGGGGCAAATCGTTTACGGAAAAGAACTAAGGAACGTTATTTATTTCGGAGGGATTGATCCGAGCTTGCGGTACGTTCATTACTGAGATTATGTTTACGCTGAGCCGATGTGGTTACAGAAAGGTTGTGTGGAAGCATCTCCTGAATGTTTATCCCGACGGAATGACGGGTCGGGAACGGATGGACTATATAAAGCGCAAGGCGGCGGAGTATGTGACGTTGAGGGAGACGTGGAAGGCGGCGATCGCCCAGGGGCCGGTGGCGGGGGAGTTGGCGTACACCACGGGGATGGTGCGCAAGGACGTGCTGAGGACGGACAGACACCACCCGTTTTATGCAGGCAGCGACGACAACCAGAACATCGCCTCGCTTTTCAACATTCTGACGACGTAAGTAGGCCGGCCAATCAGGGCGAGGGGTTTCGGCGGCGAGTTTGAGTCGGCGAATCAAAGACGTGGGTTTTGCGGGTGACGTGGCAACGTTGCGCGGTTGGACGAATGAAAGACGATTGTTTTCGCGCGAACTTTTAAATGCACCAGACGATTTAAAATAAGTTTGAAAATGTGTTTTTTATTTTCCTTTGATATACAACCACAATTAAAATTACAGTCATACAAAGTGGGTATTAAAAAGACTATATTTAGATATACAATCGCATTTTTGTACTAATTGTCATAAATTAAAAAACAGATTCTTTTTTTATCAACTGCATATAAATTGCATATTTGGCGATATTTACGATGTTTCGCTCTACATAATTCTTGTCCTTATCTGACCTTGAATGCCCCAAAAAAACTTCATTTTAGACATACTTAAGTACAAGATATGGGGGCTTTTGGTATTCCATGGACTAATGAAATGTATGAAAATGATTTTTGTATACAATATTTTGTCAACAAATTCTTTCGTTGTCACAATATTTTCAGTCGTTATCAGAATGCTTTAAATTTTAGTCAGGTTGGCGCCACCGATTTTTCTTATCTAACCTTGCCTATTCACATAAAAGGTATTTAGTTTTATCTGTTAACCAAAATAGCGCATATTTTTATACTCTTGACCTAATGCAAGCTGCAGACAGTTGCGTTACGTAAATAAACAACCTCAATAAAACGTATCGAGGGCAATTGTGGACGCGGTCAGTTGCGCCAATCAAACTTGACGATTTTGGCGGCAAATCCGAAGCACCCAGTAGTATCAGACCGTTTTTCGCTAGATACGCCCTCAACCACCCCAAAGTCAGCTACTGTCAAGGCATGAGTGACCTCGCCTCGCCCCTCCTCGTCACAATGAACGACGAAGCCCACGCTTATATCTGCTTCTGCGCCCTTATGCAACGCCTCAGCACCAACTTCATGATCGACGGCATCGCGATGACCCAAAAATTCACTCACCTAGCCGAAGGTCTCATGTACTACGACCCGGAATTCTACAACTACTTAAAACTCCACCAAGTACGTCCCTGAATTCACTATCAACCATAAAACCGAGTTTTTCAGGCCGACGATTTACTGTTTTGCTACCGCTGGCTTCTGCTCGAGATGAAACGCGAATTCGCCTTCGAGGATTCTTTGCGCATGTTGGAGGTGCTGTGGAGCTCCCTGCCCCCGTACCCCCCCGACAAGGAGCTCAAGCTCTTCGACGTACAATTCCAACCGGTGCAAGCAACGCCACCTATCAGCCCGTTGCTGAAAACTCCGCGCGAGAACGCCTACACCAAAGTGTGCGCGTTGCGCAGACAAAGCTCCTCGATTTCTCTCAGCAACTACACGTCGAAGAAAACCGTCACCGTGAAGCGCCAGAACCACAGCCTCGACGAGACTCTCACCAGATCCAAAAACAACATTTTAGACATTAAGCTGAAACACCAAAGTCTGGATGACGCGGCGCTGTCGCGCCAGCGACTGACGAAGAGCAACGAGACGTCCCCGAAGAATCCCGAAGTGTCGCCGAGGAGCGAGTTGCGGCCGCGCAGCGTCTCGCCGCTCGAGGCCAAGTCAGACTCGTTCATTTTTTGCAACGGAGTCAACAACAATCGAAAGTCGAGTTTGTCGTCAAGTATGACGAATCTGATCAAGAGCACGAAGAAGAGCGGGCACTTCAAGGAGCTGAAGGATCGGATAGCGGCAGCCAAGTTGTTTTCGTCGTTGGAGAGGTTGGATCATTCCATTAAAGAAGAAATCGAGAGTAAGCCGAAAGGGAAAATGGTGAAGAACTTGAACGAATTTTTGAGTTTTGCAGCCGTGAATAAGAATAAGATTTCGGATAAATTGGCGAAGATGGGGGGGAGCGTGGGGGATATGGATAAGCCGAAGATCTTGTTGACGAAGTCGAGCTTCGACGAGTCGGAGAAGTCGCGGCATTATTCGTCCACGTCGAACGACGACACGTTCGATGAGTACAGTCCAGACGACTCGCAGGAGTACTTTCCTCTGACGACGTCAGTAACGAGAGAATTGAGGCTGGAATTGGAGAATTTGGACCGGAAAGTTTTCGGGGATAAGTACATCGAGAGGTTGTCGGAGTCGCCTTCGACGGACTGCAGCAGCGACGTCAAGGCGGAGGAATCCGTGATGCCGAAGACCCCTCAAGAGGTAACCTACTCATTTACTAAAAATTAAATCCGTTCGACTGCGCCACTTTCGCGTCACTCTTTATAATTAAATTTCTCTAAGGTGATCACCGAGAAGCCTCCAGTCGACGCCGAGAAGCGAAAAAGCGACGACATCTTCCTCTGGGAGAACCCTCTCCTCACCAAGAGCCCCAACACCATGCAGACCCCCGACGAGCAAGCCGACATAGAGTACGACAGCGAAATGCCAACCCTCGTCAACGAAGTGTCAGACACTAAGGTCGTCACTCCTATTAAGATCATCAACACCACGTCGAAGCCGCTCAAAGTCGTTCTAGCGAAGAAGGAAGAGCCGAAAGAGGAGGAACCTCCGAGGGTGCCGCTGCCCGTCGAGGCGCCCCCAATGACGAATTCCTGCGAAGAAGTGACCGAAACCAAGTCGTCCTCTTTGCTTCCGCCGCCTCAGGAGTTCGGGGGCGGCAACCCCTTTCTGATGTTCTTATGTATAACTGTGCTGCTGCAGCACAGAAACCATATTATGACTAAGGCGATGGACTATAACGAAATGGCGATGCATTTCGACAAGATGGTGAGGAAACACGACGTCACCAAAGTACTGAATCAGGCAAGGCAGATGCACGCCAGGTACATCAAACAACACACTATAGCTCAACAGAAACAGGACTGTTAGGAAAAATCTCGTTTTATTTATTATGTACGCTGTGATATTTTCAGTTGGTTATTTATTTTCTAATTTTAGGTGGAATGTGCCTAGTACTTATAGGTCTGAGGGTGGACTCTGTTCTCGTTCCTTGTCACGGCGCGACTGTCAACGCGTGATTGACCGTCGCGACGGTGATTTTAGTTTATTTGGGCGATTTTTGGAAGGGATTGTACTCAGTTTCATTTTGTTACAGAGGGAACGAGGTGGATTTGCATTTTTTGTTGCATTTGTAAACGAAATGACTTCCAAAAAAGCCAATTATGTCATTCCCATGTTATATTGAAGCACCAAGTACGACATAGGCGGGATTGGTGCGCCTATGAGTACATCCTACCATAGCATTGTGCACAAGGAGGACGCGTCCTCAGCAATACATAACATACAGAGTTATTTATTGTCAATTGTGGTTTCATTCGATGCGATTAAGTTTCACGATGATAATAAAATTAATTCAGTAGGGATGTGTCTTATTTCTGGAGTGAAGCCGGTCCTGGAGTGTCGCAAGTCGCGGCAACGGTGCACGTGAATGTCATTCGACCACGTGGCAACCGCGCCGACTTTTTAAATCTCGAAGTTGGCGCCGTTCTCGCGATCAGGTTGTCAAACTTTCGCAGCGAATTTTTCCAAAATAAGAAAATCTTTTTAGGAAAGTCGCCGAAAAAAGCATCGACGATGTGCTTTTCCGCAATTTTCCCAACAAGCACGCGAAAACCGTGAAATTCGCCGACTGTCGCCCCGAGAAAGTAGCCTGTCGTGAACATAACCTCAAAAAATAAGACGCTGTCATTACAATAAAAATTGATTTTTTCGTCTATTTTCCATTAGGTATCGTTAAATATGACTTTAATTTAAGCAACCAACAATGTGGCCAGTGCTGTTGGATATGACAAAAGAAGAATCCATGCAGAGTTTACGAAATTTAGGTATTTATGCAAACCCTTCCGAGTCCCTAAACCCCCTCGCGCCGTTCCAGAATTGGAAGCGTACGCCCATCTGGTGTCAGCGTTGCGTGCACAAGGTCCCCTCAACCCTGACAAGCGCAAACTCCTGAAGGACACCAGCCAGGTACTCAACATCCCTCAGGACCGACACAAGGCTGAGATACGCAGAGCCGTGAACGACGAAAAGCTCAATACGATCGCATATCAGTAACTAGCGCCGTACTAACGATTCGCACTTGATATCGAGCTCAATTGTAGCGTCACGGGGTTGACGGAGTCTCTCGAAGACTGGGCGCAAGAGGGGCGCCGATCCGTGCCCCTGATTCCTAGAATGGCCCCCCAGACCGCCTACTCCGCCATCGCGGACGAGGTGGCGGAGTCCGCCAACCTGACCAACAAACAACTGCCACATCCAGCGAGCACGGAGCGCAAGAGGCCCCCGTCGCAGCCCGCTCTGCAGCTAGTGCCCGAGACGAGCAAGGGGGCCTCCTTCCGAGTTCCCGACACGCCGAAGAGCGACGACAGCAAGAAGCGGAAAATGCCGATCTGCACCGAGAACAGCAGCCTGGCGCAGCACCTGCTGGGGGCCCCCAAGATGAGCCGCACCCAGCAGATTTACAGGCAAGAATTTGTGTCTTGGACTCGACAAACGAGCGGAACTAAAAAAAATTTCAGGCAACGAACAAAGAGCGCCTTTTTGAAAGACCAAATGAAGCTGAAGCCCCAGCCCAAGCTGCCCTTCAGCCCGCTCATCCAGACGTCGAACGGGCCCAAGATCAACGTGGTGCAGAACGTGGTGGTGCCGCCCCCCGGGGGCGGCGAGGAGACCATCGAGCAGATCCAGAACGAGATCAACAGCTACAACGTGCAAAAGTCCGAGACGCAGCCGAGTTGTTCCAACGAAAATCAAGCGCCGCGCCCCAAGGTGCTCACCCCCATCAAGCCGTCGCCCCTCACCTTCAAGCAAATCACGACCACCGCCGCCAGCCCCACCGACATCAAGACCGTCAAAGTCTGCCCTAAGAAGACCATCGCCAAGTCCGGGACCCCCCTGGGCCAGAAGCTCATCGTCGTCTCCAACGCTCAAACCATCCCCAGCAGCAGCATCCTCCAGAAGACGTTGTCCATTCCCCTGGTCAAGAACATCTCCGTCAAGAACCTGGAGAAGTTCAAAATCGTGACGACGAGCACCCCACAAATCGTCACTGCCGGAAATAATATCAACTCGTTCAAGCATAAAGTCGTCACGGTGAAGACTAACCCGACCAAGAAGGTAACCACGATAATGATTATTACTATTATTATTTTATAAATGTTTGATTGGTGACGGTATCAATAAGTGATTCCTTTCTATAGCGCTGCATTGCGAATGTTCCGCGTTTGAGCCTTTCCATTTCCAGACGGCTCTCGACCGTATTCAGTATAAGTCGAAAACGTGACAATTTTTAGGTGTTCCCTTTGAGCCTGCTGAATTCCAAGGGCGGGATCAAGGTGCTGCCGATCGGCGGGAAGATCGTGGGGAAGACGACGACGACGACGGCGTCGTCGCCCCTGTACATCGTCAACACGGTGGGCCCGAGGTTGGCGGCGCAGCCGGCCGCCGAGCCGCCCCCAAGCCCCAGCAAGGAGAACGGGAAGAGTTCGGTCTTGGGGGATATCCTGAAGGCGTCGGGGGTGACGACGGACGATTTCGACACGCAGATCGAGGAGTTCCGGATCCCGAACAACCACGCGGGGGACGGGGACGGGGAGGTGCAGGAGCAGGTGGAGGAGGAAGAGACGGGCACGGAAAAGGAGGATTTTATAATTTTACGTGAGTTTTTTAATAACTACTACACTTAAAAAAAACATTGGGGCCCCCGAGACGGTTTTACATTTTTAAAAACGACAATTTAGGACCCCCGAGAAGGTTTCACATTTTTAAATAAATACATTTGGGGCCCCTGAGAAGGTTTTACATTTTCAAAACAGACAGTTGGGACCCCCGAGAAGGTTTTACATTTTTAAATAAATATATTTGGGGCCCCTGAGAAGGTTTTAAATTTTTAAAAAAGACAGTTGGGACCCCTGAGAATGTTTTACATTTTAAAAAAAGACAATTGGGACCCCCGAGAAGGTTTCACATTAACAAAAAACCATTTGGGCCCCCCCGAGAAGGTTTCACATTAAAAAAAAAAGACATTTGGCGCCCCTGAGAAGGTTGTACATTTTTAAATAAATATATTTGGGGCCCCTGAGAAGGTTTTAAATTTTTAAAAAAGACAGTTGGGACCCCTGAGAAGGTTTTACATTTTTAAAAAAGACAATTGGGACCCCCGAGAAGGTTTTACATTTTTAAAAACGACAATTGGAACCCCCGAGAAGGTTTCACATAAAAAAAGACATTTGGCGCCCCTGAGAAGGTTTTACATTTTTAAAAACGACAATTTAGGACCCCGAGAAGGTTTCACATTTTTTTTAAATAAATACATTTGGGGCCTCTGAGAAGGTTTTACATTTTTAAATAAATACACTTGGGGCCCCTGAGAAAGTTTTACATTTTGAAATAAATACACTTGGGGCCCCCGAGAAGGTTTTACATTTTTTAAACAGACAATTGGAATCCCCGAGAAGGTTTCACATTAAAAAAAAAGACATTTGGGGCCTCTGAGAAGGTTTTACATTTTTAAAACAGACAGTTGTGACCCCCGAGAAGGTTTAACATTTTTAAATAAATACACTTAGGACCCCCGAGAAGGTTTCACATTTTTTTAAATAAATACATTTGGGGCCCCTGAGAAGGTTTTACATTTTTAAAACAGACAGTTTGGACCACCGAGAAGGTTTTACATTTTTAAAAAAGACAGTTGGGATCCCCGAGAAGGTTTCACATATTTAAATAAACACATTTGGGGCCTCTGAGAAGGTTTTACATTTTTAAATAAATACACTTGGAGCCCCTGAGAAGGTTTTACATTTTTAAAACAGACAGTTGGGACCCCCGAGAAGGTTTTACATTTTTAAATAAATATATTTGGGGCCCCTGAGAAGGTTTTAAATTTTTAAAAAAGACAGTTGGGACCCCTGAGAAGGTTTTACATTTTTAAAAAAGACAATTGGGACACCCGAGAAGGTTTCACATTAACAAAAAAATATTTGGCCCCCCCGAGAAGGTTTCACATTAAAAAAAAAGACATTTGGCGCCCCTGAGAAGGTTGTACATTTTTAAAAAACACAGTTGGGACCCCTGAGAAGGTTTCACATTTTTAAATAAATACATCTGGGGCCACCGAGAAGGTTTTACATTTTTAAAAACGACAATTTAGAACCCCGAGAAGGTTTCACATTTTTTTTAAATAAATACATTTGGGGCCTCTGAGAAGGTTTTACATTTTTAAATAAATACACTTGGGCCCCCTGAGAAGGTTTTACATTTTTAAAAACGACAATTTAGAACCCCGAGAAGGTTTCACATTTTTTTAAATAAATACATTTGGGGCCTCTGAGAAGGTTTTACATTTTTAAATAAATACACTTGGAGCCCCTGAGAAGGTTTTACATTTTTAAATAAATACACTTGGGGCCCCCGAGAAGGTTTTACATTTTTAAAACAGACAATTGGAATCCCCGAGAAGGTTTCACATTAAAAAAAAAAAACATTTGGCGCCCCCGAGAAGGTTTCACATTTTTTTAAATAAATACATCTGGGGCCCCTGAGAAGGTTTTACATTTTTAAAGCAGACAGTTTGGACCACCGAGAAGGTTTTACATTTTTAAAAAAGACAGTTGGGATCCCCGAGAAGGTTTCACATATTTAAATAAACACATTTGGGGCCTCTGAGAAGGTTTTACATTTTTAAATAAATACACTTGGGGCCCCTGAGAAGGTTTTACATTTTTAAAACAGGCAGTTGGGACCCTCGAGAAGGTTTCACATAAAAAGAAGACATTTGGCGCCCCTGAGAAGGTTTTACATTTTTGAAACCGACAGCTGGGACCCTCGAGAAGGTTTTAGATTTTTAAAAAAGACAATTGGAACCCCCGAGAAGGTTTCACATTAAAAAAACGACATTTGGCTCCCCTGAGAAGGTTTTACATTTAAAAAGAAAACAATTGGGACCCTGAGAAGGTTTCACATTTTTAACCAAAATACATTTGGGGCCTCTGAGAAGGTTTTACATTTTTAAAACAGACAGTTGGGGCCCCTGAGAAGGTTTTACATTTTTAAAACAGACAGTTTGGACCACCGAGAAGGTTTTGCAATAAAAAAAAAGAAACAAAAAAATACACAATTGGGACTCCCGAGAAGGTTTTACATTTAAAAAGAAACAATTGGGACCCTGAGAAGGTTTCACATTTTTAACCAAAATACATTTGGCGCCCCTGAGAAAGTTTTACATTTGTAAAAACGACAATTTAGAACCCCCGAGAAGGTTTCACATTTTTTTAAATAAATACATTTGGCGTCCCTGAGAAGGTTTTACATTTAAAAAAAAACAGTTGGAACTCTCCACAAGGTTTTACATTTAAAAAGAAAAAGAACTGGGATCCTGAGAAGGTTTCACATTATAAAAAAAAAATTTGGGGCCCCCGGGAATGTTTTACATTTTTCAATAGAAAGGGCCGTATTCACACCTTTTCAAAAAAGTGCGGTAATTTCACCAATAAAAATTTTGTTATGACGTCAAAAACATAGATAATAGGTACACCATACGAGGGAAAAAAAGAAAAAAAAAACAAAAAAACTCATGGCCAAGGTTGGAATCGAACGCGCCACGTCTGGTCCGCATTGCTGACTCGTAACCACTATACCCCGACCGGGATGCTTTACGAATGGTAAACTGTTATTATACCGTGTATTATGTTTTAGTAAAAATGTAGACGGTTAGGGAAAAACTCAAAGCAGATTCGTACACCATACTTATGCCATTCATTGTTGTATAAAAGTTAAATCAAATAATCATAGAATTCTTTGAAATAATGTCATCAAATTGTTGGTGGGGATGATGAGCAAAATTTTAGTTAGCATTAAACCATCTACATGATATGTCTAATATACATACAAAATTTGACAACAGACAGTCCAGTAGTTTCGGAAATTACGTGTCTAATAAAAATGGATACAGACACCAGACAGACAAATAGACGGAAACGGAAGACTACTTTTTCCTTACTCTTGGGGTAATGAAACGTGGTGAAAATGTAAAAAAAAATCAGTTTGTATTTTAAAAAATTATATATTCTTGAAATTTAACATTGACGTGTGTTTTACGCAGATGAGAGTGAAGAAATCGTGGAAGACACGGAGGTGAAAAACGAAGAGATCAAAGAAAACGACGAACAGTTTTCGAACGTGGAAACAGAAATCCAGAGCGAAGACAGTGAGACAGTGATTTTCCAAGTTCAAAATTCGGAATTGACAAGTGTTAGTGATGCAACTGGTAACTGATATTTATTTATTTTCTAATTTATTCTCATTAAATTAATTAAGCCGTTATTATTTTTTTAATTAGATGCACTAGTTATTCATTTGTACATCCACTATTTTTAACGGACATGTTTTGCTCAATAAATGTTCAACTTTTTTATTCTGTGTTACCAATCAAAATTCGTCGTTCATGTATAAAATTTGTATATTTTAAGCCATTTTAATGGAGGTTTTGTACATACGATAGATAAATAGCGAAAATTAATTGAATATATTCTGTACCTTGAAATAAAAGCAACTTTTATTGACGGCGTGTTTCTGGGGTTAGGTCACCTGAGACGTCACGTGATCCATCATAACATCAACACAGCAATTAAATCGGTAAAATAAAAACGCTACTTATCTGCGTCGCTTGTGGTCGACGGACCGTTCTTATCACCACTCGTGTTGTCGTGTTATCATTATCAACCCCCACTTTGCGTCCAGTCGCCCCGCAACCTTTCCACTGCGCCGCCTCTGACATTCACGACCTGTCAAACGTCAACGACGTCCCGAAATTGAGGTTATAATCAAAATTCGTTATTTTCCGTCAATGTAAAACCCAATAAACAGCGAAATAGACGCGATGGAGTGCGACACGAGCAGCCTGGACGAAGAAACTTCATCCTTGTTGAACAACGGCTCTTCCGGCGATTTCGAGAAACAATCAGAGCTGAACGACTTCGACGAAAACGAAGACACCAGGTCCGAACTCAAGTTCGACAGAGGTAAACGCGACAATTTAGTGTTTCGTGTGTTAATTGTCGTGTGTTAATTGTGACCTGTAGAACTCGAGACGGAGGCCGAGCGCACAAAACGAGCCAAGATTGAGGAGGCCCTCAGCAACAACAACTCCGGTTTGAAGACCTGGCAGCAGCTGGCGATTGACGAGTTCGGGCTGGTTGGAGGTGAGTAGAGTCACGGTAGCGGCGTTGATTGACTGGGGGTTGTTTAGATGACTTGCGACGTAAAGTGTGGCCTTTGTTGCTTGAGTTGGACCCGGATGGGGTTGAGAAGACTCCGCTTTTGGAGGAGTTGTCCAATCATAGTGAGTACGAGCAGGTGGTTTTGGACGTGAACCGGTCGCTGAAGAGGTTTCCGCCGGGCATTCCATACAAGCAGCGTCTGGCGCTCCAAGACCAACTCACTGTGCTTATTTTACGGGTTATTATTAAGTATCCACATTTGCGTTACTATCAGGGTTATCATGATGTCGCGATTACGTTTTTGTTGGTGGTGGGGGAGGCGCTGGGGTTTAGTATCATGGAGAGGTTGAGTACTGATCATTTGCGGGAGTGTATGGAACCCACTATGGAGAAGACGTCGTACCGGTTGACGTATATTTATCCGTTGTTGAGTAGGGTGGACCCCAAGTTGTATGAATTCATGGATAGGTAAATAAATCTCTCCTGAGACTGTTTAGAATTGAGAGAAAATTTTAGAGCAATGGTGGGTACAATGTTTGCTTTGCCCTGGTACCTGACTTGGTTTGGGCACTCCTTGAACCAATACAAAGACGTAGTGAGACTGTATGATTTCTTCCTTGCGAGTCCGCCTCTGATGCCGTTGTACGTAGCGGCGTCACTAGTAGTGGAACGAAGAGAGGAAGTGTTTGAACAAGGATGTGACATGGCTAGCATCCACTGCCTTCTGTCGCAAATTCCAGATAATTTGGACTTCGAGGGTATCCTGCAGAGGGCGCTGGGGTACTACAAGAGTCACCCGCCTCAGAAACTCGAAAGTGAAGTGAAGAAACGCGTGAAGAAAGAGTATGTATATTTAACGTTTTTTAAGAAGTTGTTTTCGTTGCTTAGAAGCTTGTTTACTCTTCGCTTTTATTGGTTTTTAATATCTTCTCTGCTGTCTCGTAGTAATAAGATGAAAAATTTGTAGATTAGTGTAGATGTTTGAATAAAACTTGTGTTACTAAAATAAAAACCTGCACCTTTCCAGCTTTCTCGTGCACGTTATCGTTGTTTACATTTCTTCCATTTATCATTTATTTTAAGAGCGGAACAGCGCAAGAAAGAAGAAATGAGAATTAGGAAGAGACTGAACAGGAATAACACGATTTGGGTGAGGTTTAGTAACCGAGTGCCGTCGTGGCTGATGTTCAACTATCGAAGCAAATACGGATTGTTGTTTGCCACGGCCACGATTCTTCTTGGATATTACGCCTACTATCTGAAAACGACCAATTCCAAGCAGACCTTCCTTGGGTGAGTCTTCAACGCCACTTCCAGCTGTAATTTTTCACGATTTTCTTTCCAGGATTTTTAACACATGACATTTAATGCCCGTGGGACCCATTAAGACGATGTTACACAATAGATTTTATACAAGTTTTTAGTTTATTTATTTTTGTATCAGTCAACGTCAACTAATCGTCGCTTTCGTTTCAATAGATTAAGTTTATTCAACCACGAAATGATCGTGTTCAAGGTCACTGTAAATACACCACTATCGCTCCATGTAAATAAGAGGTCTAGGGATTGTTATGTTTTGGTCAATTCTATGTATATATGTATGGTGGTTGTGATAAGGATGGGTCGCCGGTTCTGATGAGAGTTGCATGCCAAAACCGTTAGTGTGATATTATTTTTGAATTCCAGTTGTTTATTTTTATACTGTGCGTCGAGGCAAGCTTATTTATTATTATGTTCCAGTTGTGTCGTTTCGTGTATAGGTGAAAATACAATCAGTATTTTTGTATCGTTAATTAAGTGCGCAACGCTATGTATTTAAGTGCAATCTTTTGTATAGGTAAGGTGTATACACAGTTGCAAATAAAAATTTTATTATTTGTTGTGGTTTGATTGGGAGCGCGTGAAGTCGTACCGGTTATCGGGAAGCGATAACCTGGTGTATCAAGGTCGGGGGGGAAGTGGGTGGACTGTGTGGTAAGAGTTGTTGCTAAAGGTGGCCAATGTTGTTGTTATTATCAACGGTTCGTTTTTGATGTTATTTTTATTTTGAAGGTTATCTCGGGGGTTTCCGACATTTAAGGGGACTCGCTAGACGAGGTATAACATTTTTTTGGTTTTTTGTATGAAAAAATTATATTAATATAGATGTATCATACCTCAAACTGCAGCTTTTTTCATATTCTAGGGCGCAGAGACCAGTTCAATCAACTAAAAAATTATGGCTGAGAAATATCGTAAAAAAAGCACCATTGCATGTTTTCTTTTCAAGTTTTTTGAGTCATAACCATCATAGAATCGCTTGAAAATTCGCACATGGATAAAACATCACTTTTTACAGGGCGCAGAATCATTAAATGTTTGTCAGTGGTACAATTTGTTTAAATAATAATGTGTTTATTAAAATCAAAATATACCACAAATTAATGCAAAATACGTCGAATAATTTTAACAGGAATATCAGAGGAAAATTAATGATCTATTGGTTAGCAGAGTTTTTAACTAAAACTAACAGTTATTGAAAAAAATGGGTATGAATTCGACAGAATTTGAGCAGTTAGTTCAGTACTTTGCCGATAGGAGCGCCACTAAAATTTACGGAAGCTACTTTCAGGTAAAACCCTTATCGCCTGCTTTACCATAAGCTGATTGTTAGAGTTCTCGGCTGATTTTTCTAATTTATGGCCAGGGGACTCAGTTTTATAACAAGCCGCCAGGACCGGCCGTAGTAATCTATTGTTAAGGAAATTAACTTTTACGCAATGAGGTACTATCATAAAACCGAATTAAAACTGGAGAACTATAATATTTTTACTCCACTCAGGATTCTGTATTCAATACACATGATTACTAAAAATTCATTGTAATATTATTGTTAATATATATTTTGCTTTGTTAATTAATAAAACCCATAAACATATTTATAATAATAATAAAAAATATATAAAATACAGCTTTTGTTTAACACGTATAAGTAGCTAAGTGTATCTACTACTTATCCCAGAAAGGAGGTGTTTTAAAAAAGCCCTACGCCCAGTAACTTCTCCCTTCATTGTTTACTAGAAAAAAGTGCTCGTATATGTTTTCATTTGCCGAGAGATCATTTTCAAAATATATTTATAATAAAAATATGCAAGTCTTGGTGATGAAAAATGTACTCCTAATAAATTATTAAAGTACATAAAAAATAGAAACAAATTTTATTTATTTTAAAAAAATCTCTCGCAAAGGCAGGTTCCTCTTTCTTCTTGAATCAATTATTTCGGGCAATAATGCGCCAAAGCAAAATCTGCCAAGTTTATCTGCCATCTTTTTACATATATTTCTTCGTCTTTATAAATTTTTTCTATATTTATTCCATTAGGTGTCCATACAACAAAATAAACTTGTGAAATACCCGTAACAAGCATTTGTCCCTGGACTTGAAAGTAGTAATCATGATTCTTTTTTTAGTTTCAATTCTCTGTCTGTCAATGTACAAAATTTGATTACTTTTTTTCTAACCGCTTCTTCGGGAGACAAATCTTGCGATTTTGAAGGGCATTTAATTTCGACTAATGCACTCCTATCCTCTAGAACCCTGTCTGGACTAGCCCCAAGTAAGAAAATTGTTTTGAAATAAACAAGCCACACCGTTCAGTTTTTATATTTTTATTTATTTCAAAACACTTGACAGCTTTTTCCTCACTTTGCTGTCCATAGTATGTATAACTGTTACCTCTAAATGTACTGTACAACAGAGACTCCACAGTTTTAGCTATTGCTGTAGTTGGTCTAAGTTTGTAAATACGTCCAAAATTTGAAGTCGTAACCCTAATTTCTCTTTCTTTAGCCCAAATGCGCCTGTTGCCTAGTGTCTATTTAAATTTGATGTAAATTCAAAGATAATTTTCTCAAAAAAACCTCTTTCGCTGTCACAAATGTTTCTACATCCGTGACAGGATTTTCTAAAAAATATTTAAACTATAATCGCAGTCGGGACCAGCATACGTAAATTTTTTTACGACATATTTTTTTACGAATACTTTGTCTAAAACGAACTTGTTTTATAGACGAACAATATTTTTTTGTTATTAAACCAGGACTGTTTTAATCACAATATATTTACTTATCCCCTCTAAAAAATTGATGACGTCACCTCAAAATTTTGCTGAATAAATCCTATCTAAATTGTATAAAATATGATGAGTCTCTTCTTGTGATTTATCATTCCATTGATGTTTTTTGGATTTGCATATACAGGTGACCCCAAAAATTAATGAATGCGTAAATTTATTTTATTGATTTAACTAGGAACTACAGAACCCAATGCTTTGAAATCTTGTAAATGTTTTAAGGTTATAAAGAACATAATAAATTTTTAGTCCAAATATATTTGCTTATCCCCTCCAAAAAATTGATGACGTCAGCTCAAAAGTTTGCCGTATAATCCTATTTAAAATTTACAAAATATGATGAGTCTCTTCTTGTAATTTATCATTCCATTCATATTTTTTGGATTCGGATATACAGGGTGACTCAAAAAATTTAATGAATGCGCAAATTTATTTTATTGATTTAATCAGGAACTACAAAACCGAATGCTTTGAAATCTAATGTGAAAAAAAAAACATAGCGAGGGAAGTACTGCCTAAACTCTTTAGACTAATTTTTTTGATTTTCCCATTTTTCCATTTCTCAATTTTTCAATGTTTCAGTTTGGGATTTTTTCACTGTTTCGATTCTTTAATTTTCCTTCCATTTTTAGGTTTTTCAATATTTCAGCTTTGGAATTTTGCAATATTTCGTTTCTTCAATTTTTCAAATTTTTGATATTGTGTTTTCTCGGTTTTTAAATTTTTCGATATTTCAATTTTTCAGTTTTTAAAGTTTTAGGCTTTTAGATTTCTCACTATCTCGACTTTTCGATTTTTCAGTTCCATGATTTTTCAATTTGTCGAATTTTTAAATTTTAGATTTTTTGTTCTCGATCATTCAATTTTCTGAGTTTTCAGGCTTAGATTTTTTTTGTTGTTCAATTCTTGGATTTTTAAAATTTTTGTTTTTTAAATTTTCCTATTTATCAACTTACTGGGATTTCAATGTTTTGATTTTTTGATTGTTCAATTTCTCGATTTTTTGAATTTTTAGTTTTTGATACGATTTTTTTTTCAAAAATTTTCAGTTTTTCAATTTATTAACTTCACGATATTTCAGTTTTACGATTTTAAATTTTTTTTATTTTTCAGTTTTTAATTTTTGACGTTTCTAAATTTTTCGATTTTTCAATTTTTCGATTAACTGATTTTTTGATTTTCCCATTTCTCTATTTCTTGATTTTTCAATTCTTTCTTCAATTGTGATTTTTCAATTTTACGATTTCTGGATTTTTCAATGTTTCAGTTTTGGATTTTTTCACTTTTTCGATTTTTCAATTTTCCTTCCATTTTTCAGTTTTTCAGTATTTCAATTCTGAGATTTTGCAATGTTTCGGTTCTTCAGTTTTTCCATTTTTTGATGTTTCGATTTCTCGGTTTTTCAATTTTTCGATAGGTATTTTAATTTTTCAATCTTTAGGTTCTAGATATTCCGTTAATTTTTTGTTTCCTTGATGTTTCGATTTTTAAATTGTTTAATTTTTAGATTGTTCAATTTCTCGATTTATAAATTTTTCAATTTTTCGGTTTACCGATTTTTTTCATTTAAAATGTTTCAATTTTTCAATTATTAAGTTTTCGATTTTTCAATTTTGGTGTAATTTGAAAACGGTATTAATAATACATTTAGGCGAAGAAACTAATAGACGGGCTTGATAAGCCTTGTTTGCTCTACAGTGTCTAAATTGTGTTTGAATAACATAATAATTATCTCGAATATTAAAATTAATATGTCAAAAGAATACAAGAAATGATTATTCTGTGCTGAAAGTATGTTGTGTCATAAATTATCATTATTCTTCATTATCGGCTTACGATGTTTTTATGACCCACGTCCGGTAGTCGTCTATCCCAGGTAGATTTAAAGAAGAATTGCTGGTTGCGTTTAAGGCAACAAATGGCACCCAATTCAAACTTGTGTCTCGTCTAGCGTTCCCCCTTAATAAGTCCAGCGATAATGAAGATTGAAGAAAAAGTTGGACTTGTCTGGTTGTGCTTCGGAGTTGAGGGAAGTTCTATCGAAATAACTTTGGATCAATGTTTACGTGTTGCTTATCTACAATTCTACAAATAAAAAAGATTTTTTTAAATGTATTTTAACGATTTATGATTCGGAGCCAAAAATGACGTTATAGGCAACACACAATTCACCTAAATTGACGTTAGATAAATATTCAAGTGTTCATTTCCAATATCATAGATCTAGGGAAAACCATACGATTTGTTTTTATTGTTATTATTGTGTGGGAGCATTTTTTTTTTAATCGACACCAATATGTTAATTTTACAGATTCTCCAGTTTTCGATTTTATAATTTTTTGAGTTTTAAACCTTTTCGATTTTTAATATTTCATTTTCGTGTTTTTTTATTTTTCAGCAAAAGAACAAATCTATCCAAACTGAAATAATGGAAAATCGGAAAATTCTATCTTTGAAACAAAGAAGAACACACAAATTTTAAAATGAAAAATACAAAAATTTCAAAATGAAAATCGAAAAACTAGAAAATCGAGACACCGAAAAATTGAAAAATTGTGAGAACATGGAAAAATTGAAGATAAAACTGCAAAATCGGATAATTGAAAAATTGGAAAAACGAAAAAATAAAAAACTCCGAAATTGAAACATCAAAAAATCAAAAACTAAACTATTTTGCAGTTTTTCAATTTTAAAGTTTTCAAGTTCTTGATTTTCAGTTTTAATCAAAATGAAATTTTGCAAAATCGAATAAATTTGACAAACCG